GGTTCAAACACAGGTACAAATGACAAATGAAAGACTGGGTAATGTTTCATTTTCTGGTACATATGGCTCCATATGATGAGCATTGGACTGTGGACAACAAGGGCCATACACAGTTTGAGCCTGCCAGCTATTTTTCAAGAGGAAAATGAGGCTTTCAGTTCCTATACAGATTAAAATATACACACATACCAAAAAAAAAAAAAAAACAAAACACAAAAAACAGAATCCCTATAAAGGGTACCTATGAGTCAGAATTGACTCAAAGGCACTTAACAACAAGAAGAAAAACAAAAAGTTTTTATGAGTGGCAATTGGCTCGACAACACCTAGTAACAATGATTTAGCTTTGCATTACTGTTGTTAAGTGCGCTCAAGTTTGTTCCAGTTCATATGACCCTCTATAATGTTTCCAAGCATCAGCTGGTAGGTTTGAACTGCTTATCATGTGGTTAGCAGACTGATCCTTAACCTATAGGACCCAGCTGTATATTGTTGTAGTTGTTATGTGTCGTTGAGTCACCTCAAACTCACAGAGACCCTATGTACAATAGAATATAACACTGCCCATCTTGTATCAACCTCAGTATTGTTGCTACCCTTGAGCCCATTGTTAATGCAACAGTGCCAATCCATCCCCATGGAGGTCTTCCTGCTTTTTGCTAAACCTCCACTTTTTCAAGCATAATGTCCTTCTCCACGGACTGCTTCTTGTTGGTAACACACCTGTTTTACGATAGATAACTTGCCACACTGGCTTCTAAGGAGCATTCTGTCTGGACTTCTTTCAACACAGATTGTTCTCCTGGAAATTCAGGGTACTTTCAAAATCTCCTAAAACACCTTGGCTCATATGTATCACTTCTCCTTTGGTCTATCTTATTCATTGTGCAACTTCCACATGCATATGGGGTGTTTGAAAATGGCATGATTTGGGTCAGGTGCACCTTAGTGCTCAAACTGACATTTTTGCTCTTGAACACTTTAAAGAGGTCTGTGCAGAAGATTTGCCTAGTGGGGATAAAAAAAAAAAAAAAAAGGTGTTTAATTTCTTGATTGCTGCTTCCATGAGCACTGATTGTGGATCCTAGTAAAATAATGTCTTCAACTTCAGTCTTTTCTTCATTTATTATATTTGTTTGTTCAGGGGTGAGCATTTTTGTTTCCTTTACACTGAGGTGCAATCAATAATGAAGGCTGTAATCTTTTATCGTCATCAATAAGTATTTTAATCACTCTTCACTTTCAATAAGGAAGGTTGTATCATGTGCATATGACAGATTGTTAATCAGTCTTCCTCCAAATCTAATGCTACCTTCTTCCTCATATAATCCAGCTTCTTGGAATTTTTGCTCAGAATACAGATTGAATTAAGCATGATAAAGGATACAGCCCAAGTGCACATCTTTCTTGATTCAAAACCATTCATATTCTCTTGTTTTATTTCAAACACTGCCTCTTGGTCTGTATACAGGCTCCTTATATGCACAAATAAATGCTATAGAATACTCATTCTTTGCCAAGTTATCCATAGCTTCTCATGATTCACACAGTCAAAAGTCTTTGCATAGTCAAGAAGCACAAGATCTATTTAATATCAACAGTGATATATCTTCTTCCATGTTCTCTTCTGAGTCTGTCTTGAATTTCTGAGAGTCTCCTGTGGATATACTATTGTAGCCATTTTGTATTAATGTTCAGTAAATATTATTTGCATGTGATATCAATAAAATTGTTCAATGATTTCCATGTTCAGATGGGTCACTGCTCTTGGTATGGCCACAAATATGGATCTTTTATAATCGGTTGACCAAGCAGCTGTCTTCCAAATTTTTAGGCATAGATAAGCAAGCAATTCCAGTTTAAAGATTTCCATTTGTATTCCATTAATTGTCGGAGTTTTGTTCTTTGCCAATGCCTTCAATGCAACTTGGATGTCTTCCTTCAGTAACATTGGTTCTTTATTATATGGTATCTCTTCAAGTGATTGAGCATTGTCCAGTTCTTTTTGGTACAATGACTCTGAGTATTCCTTCCATCTTCTTGTAATGCTTTCTGAATAATTCAATATTTTGCCTATTTGTTGTTGTTGTTGTGAAGTGCCATCGAGTCGGTTCTGACCCATAGCGACCCTGTATAGGGTTTCCAAGGAGCAGCTGATAAGCTTGAACCGTCGACCTTGCAGTTCAAATGGTTTTGCTGTCTGGCGCATTAACCCACAGCATCACACCAGGATTCTTTTTGCCTATAGAACCCTTCAATATTGCAAGTTTAGGCTTGAATTTTGTCTTCAGTTCTTTCAACATGAGAAATGCTGAGCATTCCTTTTTGTTTTTCTAACTCCAGATTTTTTAACATTTCATTATAATACTCGACTTGGTCTTCTTCAGCTGGCATTTGAAATATTCTGTTCTGCTCTTTTACTTACTCAGTTTTTTGTTTTTGTTTTTCCAGTCACTTTAGTATCTCAATGCTAGAGCACAAGTTGCAGAGTTGCAGAGTCTCTCTCTCTCTCTTTCTCTCTCTCTCTCTTTAAAACACACACACATATATATAGTTATTGCTGTTAAGTGCCTTCAAGTTGGTTCCAACTCATATCGACCCTGTCTAGAGTTTCCAAGAAGTTGTTGGTGAGCTTGAACCACAGACCTTACAGTTTAAACCAACCTTGTAGTCCAAAATTATTCTGTGGTGTGCCACACAAAGTCTGTATCTCTCTATCTATTTATCTATCTATGTATCTATCCATCTATGTATCTATCTATCTATATATCATTATCTATATAAATTGTATAGATCTGGAATTTGCAATGCAGCTTTGCACTACAACCTCAGACAGTCAGGAATCAGTTAAAGATAATAATGTCACATATTCTATGGGTTCCTGGTATATCACTGTATGATAACACAGGACTGCAAACCACAAGGTCTGTAGTTCAAAACCATCAAGTGCTCCTCAGAAACCCTGCACAGGGTTGTTAATGGTTGAAATTGATTCAAAGACACAATAAAAACAACATATTGTACTTGAACTCTTTGTGAGGCACTGTGATATAAGCACTGGACTGTGAACCACAAGGTCAGTGGTTTAGACTCTTGAGCTGCTTCTCAGAAACCCTGTACAAGGTCACTATGGGTCAGAATTGACAAGAGGACACTTAACAACAACACATTCTGCTGGATTATATGCTCTGTTTTTGAACAATAAACACTATAAAGTATATCCCAACACAGATTTGGCTTAGAATTATTCTCTAAGAATTTTATTCATGAATACTTTATTTGATGTATTTTGTGAATATCTTATCAGTATAAATATTTATATTCCCTAATGATCATTAATGCTACCAAAATGCAATTCCTAGAAAGATAACAATTACAAAAATAAAAATTGACATTTATTTATCAAAGCAATGTATGAACATTTTAATGGCATTCAAAACCTCAGAAGAATGTGCAGATAAAGCATCCCTTCACCCATATATGTTTACTATTTTCTTCAATATGTAATCTTTATACATATCACTGTTGAATCAAATATAAAAAGGAATAAAAATCCTTATAATATGATACATTAACGTTTCAGTGTATTTGCAAACACTCTTTATGTATACATACAGCATCTTCGATTCTTAAGTAATTTTGTAAGACGACATCAGCATTCATGATATTTTTATATTGTTATAAGATCACATATTCACCCATCTCAAATTCCAAGATTGAACAATTTTTTAGGTATCAGGAAGTAAATTTATTCCATCCTTACCACTCCTACTCTTTAACTAAGAAAGGGAAGACGAATCACTCTATGAGTTAGGGAGGATGGAATTGTGCTTGTGTGGCTCTGTTCTTCCTTAGTCTTTCTGGCTTTCCTTGCCTGAGCATGTCTGTATTATTTTCTACTCCTATATTCATAAGACTAGTACTTCTTGATCAAGGTCTCAAGTCTATCTCCTAGAGACGTCTGTGTGTCCACCTAACGTTATATCCTCTATTAGTTCAGGGTTCTCTAAGGAGTGTATATCCTTAAGATACAAGCAGTACAAAACTCACAGTAAATAAGGATGAGAATGGTAAGAAATATGTTATAACAAAATACATGAGTGTAAACTTAAGAGACAACTTAAGGAAGAAGAAGAAATTGAGACAAGAAAGATACTCACATTCCTAATTTTGCTCACATTTTAAAACAAAGTTTAGACTATAGTGTTATATTTTTGTTATAATTTTATAAGAAGTGTACATTATATATGCATTCCATCTATCTATAATTACTTAACTGTACAGGTATTGTGCTTTTTTTTTTTTCTTTTCTATTAAGTGTCATCAAGATAGTTCTGACTCACAGCAACTCTACATACGGTTTTTGAGGAGCGGCTGGCAAGTTTGAAACACAAATTTTGTGGTTCAGATTTGTAGGTGGTCCAGTGCTTTTTCCTACAGTGCCACACTAGAACTCTGGTTTATAGTTACTGTCAGATAAATATTGTTTCTTTTTCTTGTAACACGCTGTAATAGCTATTGAAGGTTAACAGATTAAGTGCTTGCAACATTTAAAAAATATTCTATGACTTCATCTTTGGTGGTGGTGGTGAGGCGGTTCTGACTCATAGTTACCCTGTAGTTTCCGAGGTGAAAATCTTTACAGGAGCAGAAAGGCGCATCTTTCTTCTGTGCAACAGCTGGCAGTTTCGAACTGCTGACCCTGAGGTTAGCAGCCCGACTTGTAACCACTATGCTACCAGAGCACCTTTTACTTTAAGTGCTGTAAAATCTACTTAAGGCAAATTTATACTATTTATCAGTATATAGGAATCATAAACTATTTAGCAGAAGAACATGAATAAAATTCTCCCCTATATACTTCTTTATCCATAATCTTGACTACAGAATCAATTGTCATTGATTACACATAAAATTGCAACATACTCTTCTACAAATTGGATAACTGAAGTTTCTAAAATGAAAAATAATATGAAGAAATGAAAATTTTTTTGTCTTACCTTTTCAAAATACTTGATTTCATACTCCAAGATGATTCCATTAGGGCGATCTGGCTCTTGCCAAGACAACGATATGCTGTTTTTTGCAATCTTCCCCTTTTTCACATTGGTAACTGGAGAAGGGGCTGAAAAATAGTATAAATAAGGAATAATGTGATTAACAGAGCCTTGAAATTCTAACTGAATACTTGTTGACAGCTGATCATTTAAGGGAAAATTATGTAATGTAGATAATATAAACTGGCAATTTTGAATATATATTAAAACTTCCAAAAATTAAAATTTCTTTTGCTTATTAACAACTTAACTTTCTCCATTTAATACACAATTTTAAGTATTGTGAATTATTTTACACATATTTAACAGTTAAATAATCCTGAACTTTTTCTCATAGTAAATAAAATCTTTGTAAAATAATCTGCAAACACCATCACCCCAACCAGGCCCACAACAATGTTTAATGTCTCGACATCAATAGTATGTAGACAAAATATGTTCCCCCATTTACATCTCCCAGAAATATTTAGTTAAGAGTCATAATTACTTTTTATGCTCACCGACTTCTTGTTGTTGTTGTAGGTGCCATCGATTCAGTATCAACCCATAGCGGGCAGTGTTTTGTTCTGCTGTGCAACAAGCCACTCTTTGGACACCCTATACAGGGTTGCTCTAAGTCAAAACTGACTCCATGACACTTACCATTAATGACAAAATATGTTGTTGTTGTTGTTGTTGTTGTTGTTGTTAGGTACCATCAAGTTGGTACCAACCCATAGCAACCTTATGCACAGCAGAATGAAACACTGCCCAATCCTGAGCCAACCTCACTACTGTTGCCACACTTGAGTCCATCGATGCTGCCACTTGGCTAATCCATCTCATTGGGGGTCTTCCTCTTTTTCTCTGGCCTCCACCTTACCAAACATGATATCCTTCTCCAGTGACTGCTCCCACCTGACAATATGGCTGAAGTATGAGAGACGAAGTTTGGCCATCTTGGCCTCCAAGGAGCACTCTGGCTGCACTTCTTCCAAAATGGATCTATTGGTTCTTTTGGCAACCCATGGCACTTTCAATATTCTCCTCCAACACTGTAACTCAAAAGCATCAATTATTTTACCGTCTTCCTTATTCACTGTCCAGCTTTCACATGCATATGAGGTTATTGAAAATACATGGCTTGAGTCGGGCGCACCTTAGTCCTCAAGTTGATATCTTTGATCTTCAACACTTTAAAAAGGTCTTGTGTAGAAGATTTGCCTACTGCAATATGTCGTTTGATTTCTTGACTGCTGCTTCCATGAGTGTTGATAGTTGATCCAAGAAGAATGAAGTCTTTGACAATTTCAATTTTTTCTCCATTAATAAGAATGTTTATTGTTCCAGTGGTGAAGATTTTTGTTTTCTTGACATTGAAATGTAATCCATACCAAAGGCTGTGTTCTTAGATCTTCATCAGTAAATGTTTTAAGTCCTCTTTACTTTCACCAAAGGTTGTATCATCTGTATATCGCAGGCTGTTAATGAGTCTTCCTCCAATCCTGATAGAACCCAGCTTCTCAGATTATGTGCTCAGCATACAGCTTGAATAAGTATGGTGAAAGAATATAACCTTGTTGCACACCTTTTTTCATATTAAAACATTCAGTGTCCCCATGTTCTGTTCGAACAACTGCTGCTTGGTCCAGGAACAGATTCCTCATGAGCACAATTAAGTGTTCTGGAGTACTCATACTTCACAAAGTTGTACATAGCTTGTTATGATCCACACAATCTAAAGCCTTTGCATAGTCAATAAAGCATAGATAAACATCTTTCTGTTATTCTCTACTTTCGGCCAAGATCCATCGGACATTAGCAATTATATCTCTTATTCCACAGCCTCTTCTGAATTCTGCTTGAACCTCTAGAATTTCTCTGTCAATGTAAGATTGTAGCCCTTTCTGTCTTACCTTTAGCAAAACTTTACTCACATGGGATACAAAGAGATTGTCTAATGATTTCTGCATTCCCTTGGGGTACCTCTCTTTGGAATGTGCAAAATTCCATCTCTTCTGACTACTTTCCATATTAAAAGTTTATAAGTCTATACTAATTTAGATATATCTGTATATCTAGCTTATTTTTGAAATTCATTTCTCAAACCTTCCTTATATTTAAATCAATCATTGGGTCTCTGTGATGCTTGACATCACAGAGAGAAATTAACTAATATTTTTCTTGTTGCATATGACCTTTATTTTACCAATTTTAGTATTATAAGTCATAAGATAAACCATCATAGATTAGGAGATAATTTTTGCCTAAAACACCAAAGTCAGTCATAGTGAATGCTGTACAACCAGAGGAATATTCCTGTTTTCATAGTAACAGATACCTGGTGAGAGTTAAAAAATTAAATACTGTCCAAATATTTTGATTTCTAATATTTTTCAGGCACACACAGAAAAACCCTGCTATTTGTCATATGTAATTTTTTATATATTCTCCTCTGTAAATATAACCAAATAAGATGGAAGAAGAAAGTGAGAATAACACTTATAGTTGTATGTTAAACCCAACAGAAGTGTGAAGGTGGGGTGAGAGGAAGAGGTCAAGCATTTTAAAACACAAGATAAATCATCTGACACCTCTCCAGGATCTCTCTGTCTCACTGAAGAGTGAAATATCAAATTGCAAGTAACATAAAAGGATAAACACTGTCTGGCACCTTGAATATTGTCTGGCCTCATTTCCTCTTTTTCTGAATCATGTGGGTAAGGCTGATGAAACTGGGAACGTAGACAGTTCTCAGTAACGTGATAATGATGAATAACTTATTTGACAAGTATACTGTACATTAACATAAGAAAACTATGTGAGAAATGGAGGAAGACTCACAATCTTTTCTTTTGTTGTTATTAGCTGCCATCGAGTTGGTATCAACTCATAGCGACCCTATGCACAACAGAATGAAACACTGCCCGATCATGGGCCAGTCTCTCAATTGTTGCCATGCTTGAGACCATTGGTGTTGCCACTTTGTCAATAAGAAGTGAAACATCAATAAGATCACAGCCTTCAGTATGGATTCCACCTTAGCATATAACAATAAATCCTCAAAACTGGACCAATAAGCAACATCATGATAAGTGGAGCAATGATTAGAAGTTGTCAAGGAACTCGTTTTACTTAGATCCAAAATCAGCAACAATGAAGCCAACAGTCAAGACATCAGTTTATTTTGTTAGGAAAATATCCTGTAAAATACCTCTTTAAAGTGTTTAAAAGCAAACAAATTACTTTGAGTATTAGGGTTCTCCTGACCCAAGCCAAGGTAATTTCAATTTCCTCATATGCATACAAAAACTGGACAATGAATAAGAAAGACTGAACAAGAATTGACATCTTTAAATTATGGTGCTGGTTGTTGTTTAGTGCCAGTGAGTCAGTTACAATTCATAGTGACCCTGTGTAAGGTTTTCGAGGCTTGTATCTTCATGGAGGAGAAAGCTCCACCTTCTCCCATGGAGCAGCTGGTGAGCTCTAACAGTAGACCTTGTGGTTTTCAGAGCAGAGCTTATTGTACGGAGCCACCACATTTCCACAGTGCTGGCAAAGAACATGAAAAATGCCATGGACTGCCAGAACAACAAATAAATCTATTTTGGGACAAGTACAGTCACAATGTTCATCAGAAAAACAATTGACACACACTTTGGACATGTAATTAGGGAGATCCTATCCCTCAGGTGGGAGTTCTGGTGTGGCCAGCGGGTTAATGTGCTGGACTGCAAGGTCAATTTGAACCACAAGGTCAGTGGTTCAACTTCATCAGCCACTCCTCAGAAACACTATACAGATATGCTATGAATTGAAACTGACTCAATGGCATTTAACAATAACAACAGTGCCTGGAGTAGGAATTTATGTGCAGTGGACCAATTAACAACATTTTTATCAATGGAGAAAACACTGAAGTTGTCAAGGACTTCATTCTTCTTGCATCAACTATCAACACTCATGGAAGCAGCAGTCAAGAAATTAATCAACATACTGCATTAGGCAAATCTGCTGCACAAGACCTTTTTTTAAAGTGTTGAAGAGCAAAGATGTCAGCTTGAGGGTTAAGGTATGCCTGACCCAAGCCATGGTATTTCCAATAACCTCATATGCATGAGAAAGCTGGACAGTAAATAAGTAAGACTGTAGAAGAACTGATGCTTTTGAGTTATGGTGTTGGAGGAGAATATTGAAAATGCCATGGGCTGCCTAAAGAACCAACAGATCTGTATTGGATGAAGTGCATCCAGGGTGCTCCTTGGAGGCCAGGATGGCCAAACTTCATCTCTCACACTTCGGACATATTGTCCAGAGAGACCAGTTGCTCTAGAAGGATATCATGTTTGGTAAAGTGGAGGGTCCGAGAAAAATAAGAAGATCCCCAGCGAAATGGATTGTCAAAGTGGCAGCATCAATGGGCTCAAGCATGGCAACAATAGTGAGGTTGGCCCAGCATCAGGCAGTGTTTCATTCTGTTGTGCATAGGGGCTCTATGAGTCGGTACTGATTCGATGGCACCAAATCAAAACAACAGCAACAGTAGATCAGTGAAAAAAAACAAAGACCATCAGTGAGATGGATGGACACTGTCACTGTGCTATGGGTTTAAATATTGGCAAAATGTTGAGGATGGCACAGGGCTGAGCAGTACTCCAATGTATTGTACATAGCTTGTCTATGAGCATGTACTGACTTGATGATACCTAACAATTACAGCAACAATATCATATTTGTCAGCATCAAGAGGCATGTTAAATTAATTTTACTTGCCTTCTTTGCTGAAACCTTTCTTTCAGATTGTTTCCACTTAACATTTTATTAAGACTGGTTTTAAAAAATGGAATGATTATATAGATTATTTCACTCTCATAAAATTTTATTGGGGCATATCAAATCATAAAACTTCCAATTTTTTTCAGGAGGAAAAAAAACAGAAAGAAATCAAGTTGTGAAGATAAACACATAATATTCATAAATTTTGAGCATTAGATTTTGTATAAATAGATTCAGTCTATTATTTCTATATTGGAGCTGACTTTTGAATGTCAGTTTACTTAACGAGATACTGAACTTCCAGTGTAGT